GAAATCCATGGACAAAAGCAGAGTTGGTATAGTGTGACTCTATTATAATATATATAAAATATAATAATAACAGTATTATATGTTGTAGTGCCCATCACTACATGCTCAAATCACCAGGCTGGAAATGCTGACTGCACATTCTTTCCAAGCATATCACTGGATGCCATGGATGGTCTGAGAATTTACAGATGTGCTGCCATCCAGAAGTGTCCCAGTACAACAGTCACTCATCTTTCCTCTCCTTGTTATAATGAAAACATCCCCCCTCCACTCAAAGAAGAAAAAAAAAGGAAAAAAAGGGGAAAAAAAAGTTCTTAGCTTGATTTCAGGAGGAACACGAAGAGAAAAAATCAGGTTCAATAGTGGTAAGCAGCTAATCTGTATTTTCACCTGTTTAGTCACATTATATATGGCTTTTTTATACCAGAGAGGATACTTGACAAAGGCAGCATTTTCTCTATTTATGAACACCCTGAAATTGCTTTTGCAAACTCTTTCCCAAGACTTCACAACATGAATGTTCTAATAGTTACATTTAATGTTAGTGAAGTGTTTAACTCACCTGAATAGCACTCCAATAAAACAAGGCATGAGGAGAGAGGCTGAAAAGGAAAGTGTTTTATGGGAGATATAAATTACCCCTCGTGGAACAGACAGGAGCCTTTCCAGCTCCTATCAGAGTGTCCAAGCTGGGAGTGTAACAAGGCATCTGCCCAGCGTATACCTGATACCTGGAGGGAAAATTCCCTTTTTTCCTTCACCTGGTGCTCTCTGTTTTACAGCACAGCAGCTTGGTCTGTGAGACAAGTGTGTCCTTGAGAGCAGCACTGCAAGGCACTTCTGTCTCCAGCTGCTCATTCCTGCAACAAATGTGGCAGCAATGGCAGCAATTCCTGCTTTTTACATCTGACCTGCTGGCTACCACCCAGCCCTGCTAAAAAGGGACCAAAAATGAAGGCTGCACTTCTCCAGCTGCCTCTGCCCCTTGCATGATAACACAGGAATGTAACTGGATGATCCTGTGTCAGGAAAACTAAAAAGATTTAAGCGATACAGGGAAGAAAACCCCACTGAAACTCAAATCCTGTACACCATCAAAAAAGTTGCAACAAAATAATAAAGCAAATTGGTACTTGAAGGATATCTGCTGAAAAGCAGGGTGGGGAGATTTCAGACTGGGATTCCTTGCAGTTTTTGCTCCTCCAAACCCCTCCTCCTACCCAGCTGTGCGTGACGAAATGTGAACAGCCACTGAGCCAATCATCCCTGCACTGTGTCCCTCAGAAAATAACCTGGGAACCCATTTCCTGTCAGAACACCTGGCACTGGGAATCTATCAGTTTGGCTGGAATCCAGCTCAGGATTCCCATCAGAACACCTGGAACTGGGAATGTGTCAGTTTGGCTGGAATCCAGCTCAGGATTCCTATCAGAGCACCTGGGACTGGGAATGTGACAGTTTGGCTGGAATCCAGCTCAGGATTCCTATCAGAACACCTGGAACTGGGAATGTGTCACTTTGGCTGGAATCCAGCTCAGGATTCCCATCAGAACACCTGGCATTGGGAATCTGTCAGTTTGGCTGGAATCCAGCTCAGGAAATTTCTACAAATAAACATCCAACTGCAGCATGCAACAAATCTACCCAGCAGCATTATTCTGCTGTCCTTTTAAAGAAAAGAATAAAAGAGAGCTGAACTAATATTTGACTATACACAACAACCTGGAGCATCATAAATCACACCTGCAAAGGTTCTGATTCTTACACCTGCTGTGGGGCCCCTGATCCAAACCCTCAAACCCGTTAGAATTCACTTGTTGGAGACAATTTAAAAGCAGCAGGATACAAGAAATCAAAAGCAGCATCACATTTTCAAGACAAGTTTGGGTATTAAATGCCTAGAAATTCAAAAGCAACATTCCAAAACACAATTATGGTACCAGACACACAATGCAGGTGAGATTTGGTGTTCCAAAGCTCTGGTTTGTTTACACTCTGTATGGTGGTGCTGTGGATTATGTAGAGGATGAATAAATAAGGGAAATTGGTTTTACTTGAAAGCAATGCATTTTGTTATTAGAACTTTTTACTACAATTTCTGTGCAATGCATCAATGAGACCCAGTGTGCAGAAACATAAAAGCTTGTTGGAGGAACACTGGCAGTTCTGATAGCTGGAAGTATCCATTATTTATGGCATCTTTATTGTCACACTCCATGGCAATGTGCAGTCCCAGCTGAAGTTCTGCTCGACCCATTTCTCTGAAGGTACCAGTGTAAGTGCAGTGACTGTGCCACCTACACATTCTGCAATCTTCTGCTGGCTGTAAGACTCAGTCACTCCAAATGAATTCTTTTCTCTTTTATATTTTAAAATAGAAACTGCACTGAACGAACGCATCCAAGGGAAGAACCTGACCTGGGTACACAAACAGTACAGAAAAGCAAGAGAAAAACACATTTTGTGCACATTCCTGACAAATGATCAGTGAAATTTAACTGTTACATAAGACCAAACATATTCACAGAGCATATTAAAGAGGGACTGGAAGCCATTCCTCTCTCTCAAAGCAGTTAAACACTGAAATGAAGTTAAGTTACAGGACTAGGCTTTACAATGTTGGAGCCTGTGTTATCCTAGGCCAGCCTGCATGCACGTGGCACTTGGATCTTCCTTCAGCCTCATTCACAGACTCCAGGGGGCTGAATGGCATTTTGGAAGGGTTCAACTCATTAATTTGCCCTCATTAGACAAACTAGCAAAAGGGAGGGAAATAAGTCTATAACCAGAGATCAGGTTCCATGTGTGGGCTGCTGTAGTAGGGCTCTCTACAGAACAAAGCAGCCCAAGAGTTACCACTTCCTACAGAGCATCTGTGATGATTGAAGGAATCCAAACAGGTGGGATGGCAAGGCTCACCTTCAGCAGCCTTCTGCCAGTAACTGGGACATAAACTCAGAACACAAAGGCTGTAAGGTGGGAAACATGGACATGAAACACAAAAACTTTGTTCATAAATCAAAACAGACAAAAGACTGATTCTCCAACCCCCCATTACTGATACTCTATTCAATTTTCCTTGGAATCAGTTCTGTTTCTGGAATAACAGCAAGAAGCTTTAGCTAACACACAGCATCAGTGTGGGTCACACACAGAACTTTGTGCTCTTTGGCCCAGCAAGTCCCACAGGCTGCAAGAGGAGCCTGTTCTCCCTCAGATTATTTGTGCTTCAGGACATTGGTCAAGCTCTGTGCAGGTTCTAAAACCTTTCCTTGGTTGTTTTTCTGTTATTCTTTACCCATTTAATTTCCTTTCCAACACAAATGCAGACTGTACATAGTATCTGAAACACTATTACATCAAATCAGTATAAAGATTACAGTCATTCTAACAAATACTCTTTTTGTTAAATATTGTAAAAATCTGTATCAGTCTAGCAAGTGTCTCACAGGGCCCTCACTGAATGAGATAAGGAGGCTTGCTTGTTCTAAAACTGCTTCCAGCTCAGCAGTTAAGGTAAAAATACCCAAGCAAAATATTTCAGATGTTTCAGTGTGCCTGAAATGTTTTTATCTTAAATTCTAGACTCATTTTCTTGTATGTTCACACATACTGCTGAAATTGAAGAACACAGTATTTCAGATGCAATTCTTTCAAGTCCATTTACACAAATGGTGCTCAGTGTCAAAAATTAAACATGCAGTCAACAATCTGTACAAAGGTAAAGGTGAAAAATAGAATTTGATTACAAAATAATTTAACACCATCTGTACACCACAGATAATGCTTTTCATAAGATAAATTTATCACCATCTTCATTCAATCATTCTGAGATGTTATCTCCAGTTTTTAAAGCATGTCTTTTCTGTGTGCTTATATACAATTCATTCATAGTATTTCCTGCTTGGCTGTGAACAGTTCAGGTATTATACAAGACTCAAAGGAGATGAATGAGGGGGAAGCTTGTGCATGTTACTTGAATGAAAGATATTTTCACTTGTCTAGCCCCAAAAGAGCCAAGAAAGGTAAGGGATAAAAGCACCAGCTTAGACTCTTTTGAACATAAATTCAGGCATTTTAATGTGTATCTCATTAAAGCTACATGAGTTTCCATGTAGGTTATTCATACATATTATGGCACTTGGACTTTCCTAACAGGTATTTAGTTACCTAGGACATCTAGGCTAAAAAAGAAAACATCTGCTAAAATTAACCATTTCTGTAAGAAAACACTTCTGTCCCAACTTTCAAACCCCTAAATTTTCCTGAAAGTTGCACCAAAATACAAGTGTTGCTCTTTCACATTGAGTAAGTTGCCTTTGCCAAGGAAGTCACACAAACCTGTGAGTTTCCATCTCTGGCCATGTGTGAGCACAAAGAAAGGCCCCTCACCCCTTCCCAACAAACCAGCTGTGTCCTGCTGCTCTGCAATTCCCTTGTGGATCCAGCTGTGGTTGGACTGCAGTCCCAGCAGCCATCACCCACCCTGGCAGTCCAAATTTAAAACCCAAGGCAGCTGACACTGGCAGCTTTTCTCCAGGTAAGGCATTATTCACATCTGCTGGCCTGGCATCCAGCTGTGCATCCTAACAGACTGCAGTTGTTATTCAAAAGGAGTAGTTATATGAATCCAAAGGTAAGAACAATTTAGTGAACACAAATGAAACACATTTAAACCAGGCCCGTGTATTTCCATATAAATCTCACAACTCTACCAGTATTTTGGTAGGTTTCTATTGCTTTCTTAACTCATCCAAACTGCTGTATTATTACAAGGCTTTAATACAGCAGCTTTGGGAAAGAAAGGTATATTTGGAAGGGAAAAAAAGTTGTGACAAGTGAAACACAAAAAAAAAAAAAAAATCCAAGAAGCTGTTTTTTAAAAAAAACTTTACTTGTAAAATTAAGCAGCATGCTACTTTGTGATTTATATTTGAATTTAAAAAGACTAATTAGACCGAAATAAAGACAAAAACCGAAAAATGGCAAGTCTATAAATAATGAAAAATTTGATTTCACTAGACTTCAATGAAAAACATTTGGTAATTAAATACTTGCTACTGTTTGTTACCTTGATGAACTTTATTAGGGTTAAAACTATAACAAAGTTCATCCTAAAACTTTTCGCAATGCAAAATTATTTTCACTCGAGGAGTGTCTCAACTTGAATGCTAAGAATTACAAGCAATCTTCTGGAGCAGACACATTCATAAAACTTTATACATCTTTTGGAACTAAGATATTTATACTACTAAAATCAAACATGCATCACTTCCCATACATTCTGGTATCATGATTTATATTACATTATGTAACACCATTCTTCTAACAGCAGCAGTTTATCATACGTTTGCTCCGTTCTCTTTGGATTTCTGATCTTTATCTTCGTTCTTCACCACATCCTTCAAAAGAAAAAATTGAGAGGATGAGAGGAATTGTAGAATCTACATTTCTCACACAAACTGTAAAGCAGCAGATACTTTATGAGTTTTATGAGACAGATCCTGTTTGTATCTTTACGATACTGTGTGAACTGTGTGAATTTAATCATTTAGTTATAACCAATTCCAGGATCTTCCTGAAAAACTGAAGAGCAGAAATGCTCTGGAGCTTCTGGGTTTTGCTTAAAACTCATTTTACTGAGATACTCCTACATAATGAAATAGTTGAATTCTGCCTTGTGAAAGCAGTCTTGAGCAGTAAAACAGAGGAGCAGATTTGGACAAGAAAACATTCAGATAGTTTGAAATCTACATGAACAGTTATACCTTTTTAAAAACACCGAAGTCAGGAACATATGTTGCAGATTAAGAAAAAACCACATTTAATTTAATTTGTTATCTTTAAATATTCAATCAAACATTAAGCTTCTTCTCTAGATATGTTAAGATATTCCTGCCCTGAATTCATGTCAAAATTGTTTTTATATTCAAGTGTTTGTTTCAATAATTAGTCTACAGAAGTTTGTCTACAATAATAAAAAAATAGAATTAAACAATTCTTACCTGTTTGAGAACACTCTGTATTTCATCCATAACAGTAGCTAAATTTTTGATTGTCTTATTCAGCTGACCCTCAAATTGCAATTTTTTATCATCTGAGGTCTTCAAATTTTCTTGCAGTTGGCCAAGGTCCTTTTTCACTTCTTTCAGCTCCGCAGAGAGACTTTTGTTAGAATTCTCCAGTTGTAGAATAGTTTTCTCATCCTCATCTTAGGAAGGGAAGAAATGAAAACGTCAAGTCACTTCCAATGCTGTGTAGTTTGCATCTTAATATTCTATTTGCAACACCATAATACTAATTTTTAAAGAACATTAAAAACTGCATTGAATTACCATTTGATAATACTTAATTCTGACCACATTTAAAGTCTTGCATTCAACCTGGATACAATTTAATCACAAGTATCACCCAAACTGATTCCTCTACTAAAGAAATCTCAGTGCCATGCACCCCTGTAAGCACTGCCCTCAAAGTAACATCCCACCTGTTTTTTCCTCCAGCAGCTGCAGCTTTTGCTCAATCTCTGCCCGCACCCTTTCGCTCTTCTCCAGCTTCTGCAGGAGGCTGCCCACGTCCACCATGGCCCCGTTGTACACGATGAGCCCCACGTTCTCCTCCACGGCCTTGCACTCCTGCTTCACCGTGGGGGAGGGCAGCAGCAGCCGGTTCCCTGCAGGGGAGGGCACAGTCAGCCCAGAGAGCAGCCCCAGACACTGCTCAGTGCTGCTCTGTGCTCCACAAACACAGGGTCAGGCCAGAGAGCAGCCCCAGACACACCTCAGTGCTGGTCTGTGCTCCATAAACACAGGGTGAGGCCAGAGAGCAGCCCCAGATACCCCTCAGTGCTGCTCTGTGCTCCACAAACACAGGGTCAGCCCAGAGAGCAGCCTCAGACACTGCTCAGTGCTGCTCTGTGCTCCATAAACACAGGGTGAGGCCAGAGAGCAGCCTCAGGTACCTCAGTGCTGCTCTGTGCTCCACAAACACAGGGTCAGCCCAGAGAGCAGCCCCAGACACCCCTCAGTGCTGCTCTGTGATCAATAACCACATAATTCCAGAGAGCAGCCTCAGACACCCCTCAGTGCTGGTCTGTGCTCCATAAACACAGGGTCAGGCCAGAGAGGAAACTCAGATACCTGAGTGATGCTCTACCTTCAATAACCACAGGG